AAGAGTGTCACCTAAAACGAGCTCGTACCCGTGGTCTTCCACGAGCCACAGAAATCCAGGTCAGAAGCCATCGGGAAAGAATCAAGTTTGTGCTAAGTTGTGTGAGTTGGTTTCTGTGTCTCTCTCAACGTGACTTTCACTCTGTTTTAGGGTAGACTACAAATAGTGATTCACAATCCAGCGGGTGCCGGGGGGTCGCGTGTTGTCACGTAGACTCTAGGTCACGGGAAGTCATGTCACTCTGGGACACGTTTGAGCCTGCATGATTTTCCCACTTTGTGCTTGTTTTTGGTACTGAGGATTGAACCACGGGTGCCTAGCCACTGAGCCACATCCACAGCCCTTTTTATGTTTTATGTTGAGGCAGGGTCTCGGTAAGTAGCTCGGGGTCTCGCTGAGTTGCTGAGGCTGGATTCCGAGTTGCGATCCTCCTGCCTCAGCCTCCTGAGTTGCTGGGATTACAGGCACGCTCTCCCAAGCCCAGGTCTCCCACTCGTTTTTACACCATGTGCTCGTGACTTTGAAGCTGCATCCACCTCCCTCCTGATTGTCCCATCGGCTACCATTTCCTGGGCTGAAGGACTAGTGGCCTCCGTGGAGGACGCAGAAAATAACGGGAGGAATTCTTCCTGGCTTTGATTTCCAGGAGCCTTAGATTCAAGGGCAAAAATGAAGCACTTTTTTTTTTTTTTCTACACAGAAAACCTGAGAAAGTTTGGGGGGTTGTGGAGAGAGAGCTCTCCCAAGAAACCCGACAACGTTGAATGGAAATTCTCAGGTGTGGCGAGCTGGGGGCCTGGTGACCTTGTGGGTGGCCCTGGAGCGTCCTGCTTGGCCTCTCCATGAAACACGGATGACCAAGTCGGGGGACACAGCGGGGGACGGTTGTTGGGGACTCTGTAGAGATGTTGGTGGCGACCTCTCACCGGGTCCCTGTTGCGGTTAGACTATTTGGCCACCCGCTTCCAAAATCCCACCCTGGACATCTGCTCTCTGGGAGCGGGGCTCTCCACAATGGGTCACGCGCGTGGCTTCCAGGTCAACACATGGCTCACCTCCCGAGGGACAGGCAAGGACAAGAGAACCCGAGGCCATGCACGAGGCTTGTCATCTGAATCGAGAAGGGGAAAGGGAACATGTTCTAGAACCAGGTCAAGCAATGTCCATCTTGGGTCTCAGACGTCCCCGTTGGCCCTGCATCGCTGGCTTGGGACTTGGCGGAGGACGGGGGACTCTAACCTCCTCAACCGGACAAGCTCAATAAGACCACGGGACTCCCTGAGCTGGCCTCTGAAGTTAGTCCTTTATCCTCCACTTTGCTTCAGACCTTCAGGCGTCCTGTTGGATCCTTCCCTCCGCACCATCGCCCCGATTCTTTGACGGTTCCAGGAATCGTTATTTTTACAGCCTCTTCTGCTCACCTTTTCACGGCAGCATGGAACATCTAGAAAAGGCAGGGTAGAAACAGGATTCTTACACTTTATCTAAGGTTTTGGATCGATTTTCCTGGACTCCTCAAAAAAGTGACCAATTTTCAAGAAAGTGTAGTCATGAACTTTTGGTTTTAAATTCCTAAGGTTTACTCCGTCAGGGTTCTTATTACTGGGGTTCGGTTTTCTCCATTGCAAGGGTTTCTTATATGGGTTCTTGGGTCCTTTGGACACCGAGAAGTCATCCTTGCTTTCCGGACTCATTGTCTGGTACAATAGTCTTTCCTTACCCATGGTTTTGCTTTCCAAGATTTCAGCAGCCACGTCTAAAACTATTAAATGAAGAAATCTCAGAAACCAACAACGCATAATTACGAGTCATTCCGAGTAGCAGGATGAAATCTTGTGCCGTCCTGCTCCATGCCACCTGCAATGTGAATCGTCCCCTTGTTTAGCGTATCCACACAGTATGTGCTACCCACCCGTTTATTACTTAATAGCCCCTTGTTTAGCGTATCCACACAGTATGTGCTACCCACCCGTTTGTTACTTAATAGCCCCTTGTTTAGCGTATCCACACAGTATGTGCTACCCACCCGTTCGTTACTTATTCTGTTTATTTTCACTGGAATAAAGCCTTGTCATTCAATTGTGATAACAGTATAGTTTTCTTTATGTCGTACGTCACATCCTCTTTTTAATGTGTAAACGATTAGAATTCTTTTCCTTTAAAGTTCAGAAATTTCACTAGATAACATCTTCCTGTGGGTTTTCTGGTTCAGTGTTCTCAGGGGTGTTACTTTTTCCTTTGGTATGTCATTTCAAATCTGTAACTTAATGGTTTTCTTGAATTGGGATTTTTTTAGCGTTTGTTGGTTTGCCTGGGGGTGTTTCCTAGCAGTGTCAATGCAACAGGTTGGGTCTCCTTTGCTCATTTAAATACTTTTTCTATATTTAACTTTTTTTAAATTGAAAATTTTCTTCCCTTTTCACCTTTGATTTCTCCAAAGTTATTTTTAATTCATCGTCTCCTATAATTTTCTACTTTATTTCTGAAATCACTTTTCCTTCTTTCAACGGGTCTTGTCAGAGGATTTCTGAGTTTTTCAGTTTCTGAATCACGTTGTGCCTTCACGTTACGTGTCATTTTTTATGAGTGTATTTTCGTTCTCTTTGAAACAGAAAATTACAGTCTTCAAGTGATCTATGAGGATGTATTCTTTTTTTTTTTTTTTTTTTGCCTTTGGGAGGTTGCTCTACTCTTTATTCTTTTTTTCTCTCAAAATAAATTTGAGTCAGATTTCACTCTGATCCCTTCTTATTGTTCACGTTCACATGAAGTCCATTTCCTTGCTCTCTCAGAAGCGGTTCTATTTCTGAACACCGTGCTACCTCCACAGAGCTACCCGCTAGCTGTTTTTGCACAGATTAACACAACAGCTTTGCTGAACTTCTCCTCATCTCTCTTGTCCCCGTGAAGCTTAATTTGAATTCCACTTGCAGGGGGGGGGTGGGGAGGGCTGTGTGCTGAAGGGAACTTGGGGGTCAGATCCAGGAGTGTGCTGTAGAGTTGAACTGGGCCCTTCGGAGCCTCAGCTCTTTCTCTAAGTCCAGTGCAGACCAATGGGTGATGTCGGGGATCTTCTGTTTCTAAGTCTTGCGGGATTCCTGACACTCCCCTCTGCTTCCTCCCTCACAGACCCCGATCCTATAAGCCTTGTAGTTTGGGATTCATGCATATATCGTGCTTTTTGATTTTACTGTGAGTAAGCTGTGTTTATCTTGGGGGCTTACTAACTGGCTGATCTGTCCATTTTTAAAACTTTTTATTTTTTAATTTGTTCTAATTAGTTGCACATGGCAGCAGAGTGCATTTTGACACGTGGTACGCATTGTACCCAAATGGAGCACAACTTCTCATTCCTGTGGCTGCACATGGTGCAGAGTCACACCATAATACAGTCGTGTGACCATACATGCATAGAGGGTAATAATGCCTGTCTCATTCTATCCTCCTTCCCACCCCCATCATCCCACCCTTCCTCTTAATCCCCTGTGCACAACCCAACGTTCCTTCATTCTTCCCGTCCCCCACTCTGGATCAGCATCTGCTTATCAGAGAAAACGTTCAGCCTCTGGTTTCTCCATATTGGCTTACTCCACTTCGAATGATGTTCTCCAGTTCCATCCGTTTACCTGCGAATGCCATCATTTCATTCATCTTTAAGGCTGAGTAATATTCCATTGTGTCTATGTACCCCATTTTCTTTATCCATCCATCTGTTGAAGGCTACCCACAGTTTAGCTGTCGTGAACTGAGCTGCTGTAAACATGGATGTGGCTATGTCCCCGTAGCGGGCTGATTTTAAGTTTTTGGGTATAAACCAAGGAGTGGGATAGCTGGGTCAAACGGTGGTTCCCTTCCAAGATTTCTGAGAATTCTCCATAGTGCTTTCCAGAGCGGTTGCACCAATTTTCAGTCCCACCAGCAGTGGACGAGTGTGCCTGTTCCCCCACATCCTCAGAAACACTTCTTGTGGCTTGTATTCTTGACAGCTGCCATTCTGACTGGAGCCAGATGAAACCTTGGAGGAGTTTTGATTTGCGTTTCTCTAATTGCTAGAGATGCTGAACACTTTTTCATATGTTTGTTGATCGATTGCAGATCCTCTTCTGAGAAGTGTCTGTTCAGGTCCTTGGCCCATTGACTGGGCTGGGTTCTTATGATTGTTATTATTGGGTGGTAAGGGTTTTGAGCTCTTTATAGACCCTGGGGATTAGTGCTCTATCTGATGGGTATAGATTTTCTCCCACTCTGTGGGCTCTCTCTTCCTGTTATTGGTTATTTCCTTTGCTGAGAAGAAGCTTTTTAGTTTGAATCCATCCCATTGGTTGATTATGGATTTTGCTTCTCACACTTTACGCGTCTTGTTAAGCAAGTCAGATCCCAGGCTGACATGGGGAAGACTTGGCCCTACTTTTTCTTCTATTAGGCGCAGGGTCTCTGGTCCAGTGAGTAAGGAGTTGATCCACTTTGAGTTTTGTGCAGAATGAGAGAGAGAGTTAATTTCATTTTGTTCCGTATGGATTTCCGGCTTTCCCAGCACCATTTGTTGAATAGGCGATCTTTACTCCAGTGTGTGTTTTTGGTGCCTTTGTCTAGGATGAGAGAACCATATTGCTGTGGGTGAGTCTCTGTGCCCTCTATTCGGCACCATTGGTTTACGGGTCTGTTTTGGTGCCGTCAATACCGTGCTGTTTTTGTTACTGTAGCTCTGCAGTATAGTTTAAGGTCTGGTATGGTGATGTCTCCTGCTTCACTCTTCCTGCTAAGGACGGCTTTGGCTATTCTGGGCCTCTTATTTTTCCAAAACGAATTTCACGATTGCTTTTTCTAATTCTATGAGGAGTGTCATTGGGATTTGACTAGGAATTGTGTCGAATCTGTGTTGAAGTCTGGGTAGCATGGCCATTTTGACCACGCTGATTCCGCCCGTCCGGGAGCGTGGGAGAACTCTCCCAAGTCTTCTAAGGTCTTCAATTTCTTTCTTTTTCTGCCCATTTCTACAGGGAGACTTTGGGGACATTTGGGGACTGCTGTGGCTGCTTCCTCCCCAGATCTGATTGGGACACAAACACACAGTGATCGTGGTGGGCGAAGCAGTCACTGGGTCTTACCCAAACGCGTTCCGACTCAGCCTGGCCCAGGGATGGCGATCCACTTTCATCATTTGGTGCAACGAAACCGCGTACGTGGCGATTGTACTGCTGGGTAACCACAGCCGAAGGGAGTACTCAGGTTTACACCGTCCTGTGCTGTCCGCCTAAAGGCAGAGTGGAAAGTGGGGTCAATCGTAAGCATGAGGCGAACGAACTACTGAAACGGGGGGTTCAAATGACCCCAACTATGCCCTAAAACCTTTGGCTAAAAACTTAATAAAGCTCTTGGTGAAGCTAGCTGTATTTTCCACGCTTCCCTTTGTCTCTTGAAAGATTCAGGATTGAAAACACTGTTGCCTGCGTGTATTCCCAGCCACTTGGGAGGCTGAGGCAGGAGGATTGAAAGTTGGAGGCCAGCCTCAGCAACTTAGTGAGACCCTATTTAAAAAAGAAAAAAGGACTGAGGATGTGGCTCAGTGGTTCAGCACCCCGGGTTCCATCCTCTGTATCAAAAACAAACAAAAAAAGAAAAAAGAAAAAAACCATTCAGAATTGAAGGGATTCATGGCCCAGAAATGGATCATTTTTATTTCTAGAAATTCCAAAGCTTTGTGAAGGGAAGGACCCAGACACTGTGGTCAGTAACACTGCCCCGACAAAGGGCTTCTCCTTTCCTCATAGGGTTAGACGCCACTGGTTCAGAAAATTAAATGTGCTGTGTGTGTGTGTCTTACGTGTGTGCCAGTTATGTGTGTGTGTGTGTTTTGTGTATGTGTTATGTGTGTGTGCATGTTATGTGTTGGGTGTGTATGTTATGTGTATGAGTTATGTGTGTTGTGTGTGTATGTTATGTGTGTGTGTTGTGTGTGTTTTGTGTGTATGTTATATGTGTGTGTTGTGTGTGTTTTGTGTATGTGTTATGTGTGTGTTTTGTGTGTGCATGTTGTGTGTGTTGTGTATGTGTGTTGTGTATGTGTGTGTTGTGTGTGCATGTGTGTATGTTGTGTGTTGTATGTTGTGTTATGTGTGTGCGTGTTGTGTGTTTTGAGAGTTGAATGTTGTGTGTTGTGTGTGTTATGTGTGTTCTGTGTATGTTATCTCTGTGTTTTGTGTGTGTTGTGTGCATGTTGTGTGTTGTGTGTGTTTTGTGTATGTGTGTTTTGTGTGTGCATGTTGTATGTGTTGTGTGTGCGTGCTGTGTGCATGTTGTAAGTTATGTGTTGTGTGTGTGATGGGTGTTTTTTGTGTGTGTTATCTGTGCATGTTGTGTGTGTTATGTGTGTGTTTTGTGTATGTGTTGTCTGTGTTGTAGGCATGTTGTGTGGTGTGTGTTATGTGTGTGTTTTGTGTATGTGATATCTGTGTTGTGTGCATGTTTTGCATGTTGTGTGTTGTGTGTGTTTTGTGTATGTGTGTTTTGTGTGTCCATGTTGTATGTGTTGTGTGTGCGTGTTGTGTGCATGTTGTAAGTTATGTGTTGTGTGTGTGTTATGTGTGTGTTCTGTGTATGTGTTATCTGTGTTGTAGGCATGTTGTGTGTGTGTTATGTATGTGTGTTATCTGTGCATGTTGTATGTGTTGTGTGTGTGTTTTGTGTATGTGTCATCTGTGCTGTGTGCATGTTGTGTGCATGTTGTGTGTGTGTGTGTGTATGTTGTGTGTGTGTGTGTGTGTGCGCTCTGTGTGTGCTTGGGTTCTGCAGAGGGGCCTTGGTGGCACAGCTGGGTCACTGAGCACAGGCAGATTGGGAGACGGCGTGCCCTGGCGCTCTGTGGCACCGACGGGGACGTGGGTGACCTGGGTGGCCTTCCTGCTGTGCCTGCTGCAGAGGGGCAGGGTGAACTGTGGCCTGGCGCCGGGGCGTGGGCGCTGGGAGCTCCTCTTGTTGGCCTTGCCGAGCCACAGCCTGGGGAAGGCTTGGGGACTCTCGCGGTGGCCAGAGAGCATTCCTTTGGGGCAGTTTTGGGGGTCCCCTCCCAGGCTGGGGAAGAGTGCGTCACGTTCAGCCTTTCCCTCTCTGCCCCTAGGTGTCCCTGTGGAGGGACACAGACCATGTGGCCCTGGGCAGAAGAGGGCCAGGGAAGAGGCCCTTTGGCCGGTCACAGAGGACCCAACATGAGAACGGGCCGTGGCAGCTCTCCTGCAAGTGTGGAAGCTGGGGGTCCGGCAGGTGGGTGCACGTCCCAGAAATGGCAGAGTGTGCCTTGCCACGTGGACGCACAGGGATGCCCCCCGCCCGTGGCCCTCTGGGCAGATGGGCACATTCCACTCAGGGCCGTTCCCATCAGAGCCCACGGATGCAGGTGGTGGCCCTGGACGGAGCCGCAGGCCTGCGGTGACACAGCAGCCACCGCATGCAAACGTCGTCCCAGCCCTGTGGCTTGTCCTGTGAGCTGGGCCGTGCGCTGCCCGGTGGCAGGGGCTTATCAGGTGCGTCCCAGAAGCGGGCTCCCGCGGAGCTCTTTCCTGGGGCTGGACCTCTCTGCCCTGGGCTCTGTCGGCCTCTGTGCCTCTGTCTGTGTGACCTGGCGCTGCCCACACACAGCCCGACCTGCCGTCGATCGGCTGGAATCAGTTCTGAGAAGATCGGTCCCGACTTCTCTTTTCCTTTTTTTCTTTCTAGCTTCCGCCTCTGAGAGAAATCATCCTGCCCCTGACCTCCCGAGTCCGACTGATTCCATTTGCCAGCAGACGCCATAGTTCCACTCTTTTTCATGGCTGAGTAGCGCTCCTTTGTGCACATTTTCCTGATGCCCTCGTCCACCGGTACGCTGCCACCCCAGGTCTTTCCTGGCGTTGCCAACAAAGCTCAGAGCCACCAAGGTCAGCCCGACGGTCATTTATTTATTTTTCCTTTTCCGCATGGATGGCTGCCTTCGATAGTTGCCCTTTGGACATAACCGCGTGAGACTGTAAGAAAGCTGAGGAACGTAGCGAGACATGGGGGACAGGCTTAAGGAGGAGCCCGTCTGTGACAGCCACAGAGACTCGAGTGCGTGCAACCGCCTAAGGAATTGGCCAGGAACTTGCTGCGGCTTGGAATGGGTTCATGGTGGGTTCCCCAAAGCCTCGTGTGTCACCAGTGTGCTTCTCTGGGCAGCCGTGTGACGAGGCACTGGGACTTTGAAGGGGTGGGGCCTGATGGGATTTCTGAAGTCCACTGAGGGCGCGCCTTTGGAAAGGACCGTAGATCCGCGGCTTCTCTTGACGTGTTTCCTCTTGCACTCGCTCTGGCCATCGGCCACAGGGCCTTTGCCCAAGCTGCTGCCAGGCTATTTGGATCTCCCGTCTCCAAAACAGTGCACTCAATCTACGTCTTTTCTTTATAAAGTAAGGGTGCCTCGGGTATTTCATCATAGTCACATAAGACAGACGGATGCAGAACACTTTTACACCACGAGTTAAACCTAGGTCATCAGAACCAGTTTTTGAGTGAAGCAGAAAAAATGGAGACGGGTCGGCCACAGGCACGATTTAGGCTGCCTTCAAATCACAGTGGAGGCTGATCACGTCACGGGGGGAGCTGAGTGGAAGCTTTCTTCCTGGCACCCAGGAAGCTCTTGGTGGCTGCAATGGGGTGAGCTGGCCTCTCTGCACCCAGCACCCAGTGTGCACAGTCACAGCACCCAAGAGGCCAGGGAAGGACCGTCATTGAAGCCTGAGGAGAAGGACTTACCCCCTGGGAACGGGACGTTTCTCCCCCTTTAATGGAGCTCAGAGATGAGACTGAGCGTCAATCACCCTTTACCTTTCCGATTTCTTAAGACAATCCCTCTGCGGAGCTAACCCCCGTTCCGCTAAACGCACTCTCCACTTTCCCCAGCAGCTGCGTCTCCACGGCGCCCCCTTTCTCTGAGACTTTCCCTCGGCCAGGGCCCCTCCCTTCTCCCCACAGCCTCATCCTTTCGTGATGCGACCAGGTAGACCCCACGCGGCGGCTCCCGATTGCTGGCTGACGACTGGTTTCCCTGAATTCTGCGGGGGCCGAGTCCCGCATGGACGCCTGCTGGCTCTCCGTCTTGCAGACCAGCTCCAGTCCAGGTGTGGCAGAGAGGCGAGGCCAGGACTGGGCCCCCGTGAGGAGCAGGTGTTTGGTTGCCTTGGGGATATTTAGTGCTGTGTGTCCTCCTGGACTGCTCTGGGCTGTCACCAAAGGGCCCCCATCCTGACTCCCTCCCAGGACCACGCTTCTCCTCCCGGCTCAGCAGGGGCCTCGGCCCAGCATGAATACAACCTGGCAGCCCAGATCGTGGCCCGAGAGACCCTCTCTCTGTGCCCGTGGACACTCTGGAAGAAAGGAGTGAACGCCGCCCGCCATCCTGGCACCGAGGTCTCAGGTTGTACGTCAGGAGGTGGGCGGGGCAGGAGCCGCGGGATGCAAGAGGCGATGACCGGTGTGACCTGTCCCCATAGCACGCAAGTGCCCTGAGCAGCCGTCCACAGCCTCTCGGGTCACAGCCCATGCAACGTCCTGTTCCTGGGAGCCCATGTCCAAGCCACCCCCGGACCCTCAGCGACATCTCAGCCCTGTGCGGGGGCCTTGGGGGTCTCTTCACGGCTGGTGTCTTTTCTGCTTTCCCGCATTGACTCAGTCGGTTTCCAGCCTCAGTCTAGTGCCGGTGTGTCACTGCGATACCATGAGCACTTTATCCATGAGAATCACGGGATCATGTCCCAATGTCCGTGACACGATCGTCCTTATTAATGGGTGTGACCGTGGTTCTGTCGTAAAGATATGTGGCCAAAGGGTGTTCCGTAACTCCACAGTGCAGGTCCCAGACCATCATTTGTCGACACCCTTTTTGGTTTGTATTCCTTGGGAAAAATATCTCAAGATACACATTTAATTCAAATAAATTACTGGGCCCTAAAGACCTAAAAAGAGCAGACTACAGGGATACTGCCACATCGATGTTCATAGCAGCACAATTCACAATAGCTAGACTGTGGAACCAACCTAGATGCCCTTCAATAGACGAATGGATAAAAAAAATATGGCATTTATACACCATGGAGTACTACGCAGCACTAAAAAATGACAAAATCATGGCATTTGCAGGGAAATGGATGGCACTAGAGCAGATTGTGCTTAGTGAAGCTAGCCAATCCCTAAAAAACAAATGCCAAATGTCTTCTTTGATATAAGGAGGGCAACTAAGAACAGAGCAGGGAGGAAGAGCAGGAGGAAAGGATTAACATTAAACAGGGATGAGAGGTGGGAGGGAAAGGGAGAAAAAAGGGAAATTGCATGGAAATGGAGGGAGACCCTCATTGTTATACAAAATTATATATAAGAGGAAGTGAGGGGAATGGGAAAATAAACAAGGAGAGAAATACAGTAGATGGGGTAGAGAGAGAAGATGGGAGGGGAGGGGAGGGGGGATAGTAGAGGATAGGAAAGGTAGCAGAATACAACAGTTACTAATAGGGCATCATGTAAAATTGTGGATGTGTAACCGACGTGATTCTGCAATCTGTATTTGGGGTAAAAATGGGAGTTCATAACCCACTTGAATCTAATGTATGAAATATGATATGTCAAGAGCTTTGTGATGTTGTGAACAACCAATAAAAAAAATTAAAAAAGGAATGTCAAATACACAAAATTCAGGGGTTGGGACGTGGCTCAGACCCCCAGCTCGGCACATGCCAGCTGCTGATCCCATCCCCGAAACAAAGGCGCACTTGAAGTCTAACCCAGCAGAGCGGTCCCAAGGGGGAACGATGATACTTGTCTTCAGAATCATCCGGGAGCCAAGCAGCGGTGTGCTCAGTTCAGGCAGCATTTTTATAGATCATCTTCTTCTTATGGTTCCTCAAAGAAACTTGGAGATTGTCTGAAAGCATCTGCCTTGAGACACGTCTGACCTCTAATCATGATTTTCCACGGTTTGGCTGCCAAGGCACGCTCCCCCAGTGAGGCCTCTGACTCTCCCTGCCCTCCTCTGCCCCCTCACTGGGGGGGAGATGGACCTTGGCCAGCAGCACGGGCCACTGGATGCTCTGGGCAGCGAGGCAGTCCCGGTGCTCCTGTTGCACACCCCGGCCGCGACACGTGGTGCAGCACGACTTTCTTGTTTCCTGTCTTGAGTGCTGTGGGTTGTGGGGATGTCTCACTGATTTTGGCAGGATCTGGGCAGCCTCTTTGAAGTAATGAGACATCGAGTCTCCATCATAGAGCCATTTGGCAAGGTTGCACCCTCTCCTCTTTCTGTCTCCATTACACGGCTTTATCCAACAGCTTATTAACAGACGCGCATTTGTACATTTTGGGCATCAAATGATACAATACGTCCCAGAAGTTGTTTTCTAGAGTTTCGTGGCTCTTAGGGCTTTGAACGCTTACTGGGTGTATGTAGCCATGGATGTTCCTACCGTGACCATCACGCATGCAGATTTACTGGGGGCAATGTCCACGGCGTCTCCTCTCAGGGTCGGTCCCCGTGAGGCTCAGAAGTGCCGGCCGTTCGTAGTGCAGGATTGCAGATGGCCATGGTGGACGCCGACCCGATGGGATGGACACGCGGCTGGGAGGTGAGCAAGCCCCCTCCTGGTGCGTGGAGGAGGGCCTTCCCAGAGACACCTGCACGTGAGACAGGAGGAGGCCCACCCCGAATGGGGGGCACTGTCCAGGAGGTGGGTGGGGGCACGGTGGGAGGAGCCCACAGCTCCCTGGTTCCTGAGCGCCAGTCCACCTGCACAGCCGACTCGCGCTCTGCAGCCTTTCACTGGGCTCCCCCCAGAGGCTGTCCTGGCAGCTCCCGGGCCTTTGCTCCTGCACGCGGGCTGCATCCTTGGTCCCTCCAGTTGTGGGGCTCCGGCCTCTTGCGCTGAGCAGCCCCCCGTTGCTCCAGCTCTGAGCCTGCACACGGCCACTGGGGACCGTGCAGCCTCTGGTGGTGACAGCCAAACTGCTCTGTCCACACCTCGTGTGCACAGCTAGGCACACGCTCATCTCATGTTCCTCGTCCATCCAAATTACCCAAGGCATCCACCCAATCGAACGTCCTTCATGTGAGCACGTCCCTATCGTCTGCCCAACCCCGAGAATTCTCTCCCTCCTTCCTTATCCATCTGTGTCTCTGCCACCTGCCTTATCTACCCGTTTATCCAACCCCACGTGTGCGCTCTCTAGATCTACCTACCCATCAACTTAACTATGTGCATTATTTATATCCATCTATCTTTCATCTAATCCACCCATCCATCCATCCACCCACCCATCCATCCATCCATCCATCCATCCATCCATCCATCATGTCTATCTACTTACCTATTGATCAGTCATCTCTACCATCCAATCATCCATCATGGCTGTCTATCTATCTATCATCTATCTAATCCATCCATCATCCATCATGTCTATCTATTTATCTATTGATCAATCATCTGTACCATCCATTCATCCAACCATCCATTCATCCATCCATCCATCATCCATCATATCTATCAATCATCTATCTAATCCATCTGTCCACCCATCCATCCATGCATCCATCCATCCATCCATCCATCATCCATCATGTCTGTCTATCTATCTATCAATCATCTAACTAATTCATCCATCCATCCCATCCTTCCATCCATCCATCCATCCATCCATCATGTCTATCTACTTATCTATTGATCAATCATCTGTACCATCCATTCATCCAACCATTCATCCACCCATCCATCATCCATCATATCTATCTCATCCATCATCCATCATATCTATCAATCATCTATCTAATCCATCTATCCATCCATCCATCCATCATCCATCATATCTATCATCTATCTATCGTCTATCCCATCCATCCATCCATCTATCCATCCATCACCCATAATCCATCATGTCTATCTACCTATCAATCAATTAATCATCTATCTCATCCATCCATCCATCCATCCATCATCCATCATGTCTATCTATCTATTGATCAATCATCTGTACCATCCATTCATCTAACCATTCATCCACCCATCCATCATCCATCATATCTATCAATCATCTATCTCATCCATCTGTCCACCCATCATCCATCATGTCTATCTATTTATCTATTGATCAATCACCTGTACCATCTTTCCATGTATCCACCATGTCTGTCTGTCTGTCTATCTATCTATCTATCTATCATCTATCTCATCCATCCATCCGTCCATCCATCCATCCATCACCCATCATCCACCATGTCTGTCTGTCTGTCTGTCTATCGTCTATCTTCTATTCTCTTCCTCTGAGAAGGACTAACGGAAGGTAGAACCCCGACCGTACGTTGATACAGCCCCCTCCTCCTCTTCCTCCCGGGCTCTGAAGCCTGCGCAGGTCTGAGCAGGAACAACAGAGCGAAGGAGTTGGAGGTGCGTCCCCCTCACCTTGCAGCCTGGACAGAGGAGACAGGGGTTCTCAGGGGGTCTCCCCGGCATCCCCTGGGGGACACACAGTTCCCTTCCATGTCCCCTGGGTGCTTGTACCCAGTGCGGGTTCCTCAGGTGAACAGTGAGGCAGTTTCAGCTGTCTGTTTATGGCAGCTCAAGTCATGATAGCTGAGCCATGGGACCAACCTAGGTGCCTTCAATGGGTGACAGGATAAAGAAAATGTGGTATGCACAATGGAATACTACTCAGCCTTAAAGAAGAATAAAATGATGGCGTTTGCCAGTCAATGGATGGAACTGGAGAATGTCACGCTGAGTGAAATGAGCCAATCC